AGATCGCTCTGCTGGTGGGCGAGGCGCAGAGCCCCGGCTCCCCGCCCGCGCCGCTGCCGCTGCGGCATTGTGGCTCTGGGGAGAGACTTTCCAATGGGGAGCGATAGCCCCGGGGTGCAGTGTCCCCCAGGTATTTATTACGTATTTATTATAAAATCAGTACTCATAAAGTTTATGAAAGCAGATGTTTAATATCCTTCGAGGATCCCCCTTCCCTTACATGAAGCGACCTCATTTTTCATTTTTCCGCTTCGATGCCGCACACCAGTACTGTACACTAAGGTTACCAAGACAGGGCGTCGGTTTGTCTGTCTGCGTATTTCTCACTCTTGGGGAATGTGTGTCCTGCGCCTGCTCAAGTGTTTGAAATCTTTCAGGGTTTCCAGTGCAAGTTACTCGTTTGTGATAGAGCCATGTTTGAGAGACGTGTGTTTTTTATTTATACGAATACCTTATTTTGTATTTTTAGGAATATGAAAAATAATGGTTCGATGTTTGATAATTGTTTTTATATTTGATTCTTAGAAAATTTGATAAGACTTGGAGAGAGATCACTAATTTATATTTTGTACTTAATCTCAGATGAGTAATCTTCAGTGTTTGGCATGTGTGAAGTATTACATGGGACTGTAACATGATTTGTTTCACTACGGTATCACTGCTAAGGAAAGTGAAGCTCAGAACTACCCTCTTCCTTGTTAGGGTTGTTACTCTAAATTCAGGATTGGACCTGAAATTAGAGAAGTCATCTTGTTTTACCTCAGTAAGCACACAGTATAAGGAATACTCTCATTCTCATTACTTTTTTCACTTTTTGAGCTGAGACAGGGCCTTTTGGAGCCATTTTTCAGTATGTTTGAAGTGTCAGTGCTGACGCTGCACTGATGGATTATAGCTCCATGCACATCAAGGGGTTTTTTGGTACAGTTAATTTTGCGAAATTTTAACTGTTCTCTGTGTTGAAGTGTGATGTGTTTGCATTTAAAAAAAAATAAGTGTATCGTCTTTGGAAGTCACTTAAATAAAAAGAAATGTTTTATTTTCAAACAGGCTTTGCTTAAAATATTTTTATGAGAAGATTATTAGTGTTTTAGTGAATTTACTTCACAAAGTGAAGGTAATTGACACTGTCCATCGTTATGGCCAGATGACTCTCGGCCAGTGTCTGGACTGCCCTGTCCTGTTTCAAGCCTTCCTGACATGGGGGATAGTCACAGCCGATAGCCCCAAGTGTGAAGTTTGTTTCACTGCAAGGTGTTTACTCTTTTTGTTGCTTTACAAAATGCCTCTTTGAATCACTACATTTAAACCAAGGATTGCTGATTGAAAACATGTACTTACTTGGAAATTGCATACATACTTCTGTATGTATTTCATGATAAAGTATTGTAATTATTTTTTAAAAGTGACGTTTGGAAACATGAACTTGATAAATTCCTGATGACATAGTGTACAAAGTGTTTGCAGTTGAGTGTTACGCTCGTGTGTTGGGTGGAGCAGAGGGACCGAGCCGTGGCTGGGGTTCAGCAAAACCCTGAGGAAATCGGAATAGAGAAGTTTGTCACTCCCAAGGAAAGGAAGTAGAGGATGGGCTTTGGGGACCACGTGGGAGATCAGGGCAGGGGACCGACCTGAGTCCGTTTCTCGGGTGCACCTGCTTTGACTAGGGTCCATGGTGGAGTGCTGTGCTCCTGGGACACATCCAGATCGGTCAACTCAGTCTCCAGAGCGCAGGCCTGGTGAGCTCCACGGGGCCTTACCACGTGGTGGGCGAGGGAGGCTCTGGGAGCAGGAGGGGTGTTCGCAGCCAAGGCTCCTGGGAGAGGGCGCCGACGACTCCCAGCTCAGGGGTCACTGCATCCGAGGGAGGCAGTCCTCCTTGCGTGGGGGCTTCCGGGCCAGCAGCCAGCAGCGGGCATGAGGACAAGGCCCTGCAAGTGGGTCGCCATCTGCAGCGGTGCCGCCCGCATTCCCACCTCCTCACCCTGGACTTGAGTCCTGGGCCTTGGCATGGTTGTGGCACTCCAGGTGCTGATTCAGCGTCAAGCCTCGGAGAGAACCTTGCCCCTCCCGACAAGTTGCTGCCACCGTGGATCGTGATGGAGGCTACCGGGGGTCACCCCCACTCCAAGGACAGCTGCGTCTGAGCTGCAGGCCGTGGCCTGAGCGAGCAGTGCCCCGGGACACAGCTAGGCGGAAGCCCCTCATGCCCAGCCCCGCCATGCCCCTTGCGACCTCACCGCAGTCTGCAGAGTCTGGCAGGGGTGTGCCCTGAGGCCTTCTGTCTGTCTGCTTCAGAATGATGAGTGCCGAGCACAGGGCCAGGAGCCTGCTGGCTACTGCGGGCGAGGACCGGGGTTTACTGTGTCCTCTTGCGTGATGCTCTGTAGCGGGCACAGCAGGCAGCTCACACAGGAACCACCCGTTGTAGGCGCCTCCACGCCCCTCACATCTGCTTCGGCATGTTCAGCAGCAACGTGCTTGCAGCTATGCTGAGTTGCAGTGGCCACACACCTCGTGCCTGACGGGAAGCAAACTGAGACCACAGGCCGAGGGCCTGAGGCCGCACAGCCACGCACAGGCCAGCTGGCTCCGCCCGGTCTTACCTGCTGCTCCCACCACTTCAGCCCAGTCCTTCTACTGCCAACTCTGACTGCTTGGCAGTGCCCTCTTGCCCCGCCCCCTCACTTTCTGTGCCAGCTGGGAGGTCCTCAAGGAATCCAGCTGCAGGCAGGAAAGAGGCGTCGGTTCTGGATTTTTGTTTTATGTGCTGAAGCCCGCCGTGGCGCCCCGCACTTGGTGGGTGGCGGGGCCCGAGGTGTAAAGATGGAGGGGCAGAGGCTGTGCTCACGCTGCGGGCGTCACCGCGGTGTGATGTGGTTCCCAGGGACTCCTGTGGCAAGAACGATGTTCACGGAGGTCAGTTACGTGGTCAAGCGCCCGTCCTGTGACTGGCGCCTTGGGCTGGTGATGCAAACACCCAGATTCCCGTGAAACTGCCTTTCCAAGAGCAGCGCGGGCCCAGATGCTCGCGGGGGCTGGGAGCCCCGTCCCCAGCCCAGGCCCCTCTGCCGCTCCCGCCGCGCTGGCCTGGACCCTCGTCTTCACCTGCAGACTCACGTGGTCTCGGCCTTGTGCCCCGATGGGCCGGGGCAACCTCCGGGAGGGGAGTCCAGCAGCCCCACCCCGCAGGGCCGACTGCGTTCTGGCCTGGAGACCGGGTCTGGGGGACTGGACGCCCTCAGGGGTCAGCACGCCCTTTACTTTCACTCTCAATGAAGCCTCCACGTATAAAATCCAAGCAGAATTTGGCACCAGGGAGATGTGTTCCCCTTGTCGGAGACCTGCAGTTTCCCCGTTAGCCCAGGTGCTGCGAAACTTTTATCCCGGCACCTAGCACGTCCTGTGGTGTCCGTGCCTCTCTCCTTTCAACTGTGAGGCCTTGTAATGTTACGCGCAGCCACGCCACACCTTTGTGACTCACAGCGGCCGAGCCTTATGTTCAGCATCACACATTTATTTAAATGTACAGAAACACGTTATATAGCACATATGTCAGTATTGTACACTATGGAACTTGACTAGACTCTCAAACATCCTACTAAGAAAGAAACATTGCTCATGCGGATATTTATGCCACCTACGTCAGAGGCCCTCATTTGCATCACAGGCAGTCTCACTGACTTCACAGGTGCCCTCGTTGACGTCACAGAGGCATGACAGCAGGGGGTCCACGTCTGCGTACAGGTTGCACTGGTCACAGGTCTGGAGCGTGGGGTAACACGCCGTGATGGAGGAGCTCCCGGTCACCTTGTCCTCGGCGACGTAGGCGGCCTGAGTATTTGTTAAGGCCAAACAGCCAGATAACTTTGGAGGTCTTCAAAAAAGACAGAGGGTTTGAGAAGTTTCTTCTCAGTCCAGTAGCTACCACTGGCAAGGGGGG